ATACACTGCTAAATTAGGGACGGCTAGCGCAGATAGCCCTCGTGTAGCTTTGCGCGAAATGCAAAACAAAGAAACTGTTATAGTATTTTATACCTCCTCAATTATAAATGTGACAATCATGAATGTAAAAATTTAGCGTGTGCAACTTATAATCTATTCATGTAGTTGTAATAATGATATTATAATAACTTCTAACCTTTACTATGCACCTATAATTATTTTGATTATATTTGTTATTATGTAACGTATGTGTATTTGTTGTCAGATGACGGTCTAGGTAGTTAGTATTGCTAATATTTAAAACTTGAAACATTTAAAACATTTTGGCCAATTAGCCGTAACTATCATATGTACAACCACTGGAATAGTGACGACGCCTGAAACGAAATACATTTAAGTGGGATTTTAATTATTTCTATTAAGCCTATAAAGCCACAGCGCTTCGAAAGTTTAAACGACAGAATTACAACAGTTTTATTTTATGTAATTGAAAATGAAGTTGATGCTTGAGTTAAATTAATGTGTAATTTTCGTTTATTTTAGAATCATCATAAATTTTCTTTTTTCGAAATATCCTCTTTTACTAATATACAGAACATTATTGGAATGGAATAAGTGAATTTCACCTCGTGTTTAAAGAATCGTTTACAAACATTGTGAAAGACACACACATGTATGGTTAACACTTGTGTGTTACAAAATTTTAAGCCGAGCATAATCCCAAGGTTGTGAAAAGTACTGCCCACGGGGGGGGGGGGGACATGTCCGTGACATTCCGAAAGGACGGACAACTTTAAAAATGCGTTCGTGTTTGCCCCCAAGTAGTACAGCGGTATGTTTGAGTACTTACAACGCCAGAAACCGAGTTTCGATACCCGTGGTGGGCAGAGCACAGATAGCCCAAAGTGTAGCTTTGTGCTCGTCTTCAAACAAACAAAAGCGTTCATGTTGACGTGTACAAAACACGACAGTCCAGAAGAGGGGCGGCAAACAAAGATTTCTATGGGCGGCACTGATTTCGAATCAGAACTACGAAATTACTGATATGGTTTTCATGGTGTTTATCATCAAAATAAGTGTCTCTATTTCCCACATTAGTATTGTGAGAAAATCATATATAGATGTTAGTAGGTTCAAGAGGATACAATAATAACAATTCGGTTGATTCTTAAATACAAATTCATTAAGCTGTCTTTTCTTGAAAAGCAGAAGAGAAAAATGTGTGAATTATTAATAACTTGATAGTTAAAACAATAAAATTGTGGAAATTAACAACTTGATAGTTAAAATAATAAAATTGTGTAAATTAACGACTTGATAGTTAAAATAATAAAATTGTGGA